TCTGGACTTTGGTAACATCTTAATATCTAAAACCACTTTAAGACCCTTTTTCTTATAACACTAATCAGATTAAATATTTTCTTCATATTGTGTATTCGTAGGTTATGTTTCCTGTCCTATATCCTCTAGTAGAGGTGTTTATGAATGGCAAAACAACAATAAAGTTGACTAATAGGAGAAAAACATAGGAAATTAAGATTCCAAAATAAGTCATATTTAGATACTCAGAAGATAATCATGAGGAAAGTTTGCTGAGAGCAGGGGTGACTCAGGGGTGATCTCTATTTTCCATAGGCTCCCTAGAAGACTTAGGAGGCTTTACATGAGCCGGAGTGTTGTAAGAACTCAGCAAGCCTGAGGCGCCACCCCTCTGAGGCTCTACTGGCCCTTAATAGTTGCTGGGAGGGAGGAATAGATACTTTTTTCTGTGGTGTAGCCATTGGTAACATGCCCATGCTCTTGGAAACAAGCCTTCATTCATGCTTCTGTAAGCAACCCTGATTAAACTCACTGACATCAAAAAAGTCATGAAAGTAGAAGGGGGACTAGATGGGAAGGGAAAAAGGATCAGCAGGAGTGGGAGGGATAAGAGAGAGTAATGGAACTGAATAAGATCAAAATACATTATATGCATGTATGTAAATGACAGTGAAATGAATTATTATGTATAATTAATACATGCTAATAAAACAAACAACAGAAGAACTCGGGAAGCCATCTTCTCCTACCTATAAGAGCACCTCAGCCTTGGACTCCCGTCCCTGGATAATTTTCATATAAATATTCAGGAGGAGTAGCATGGCTTTCACACTCAGGGTAGGATGCATTTGGACCGTTGTGACAGGACTTCGGGGAAGTGAGTCTGGCTCACCTGCCCCATGCCTCTAATCCTGGAATTTGGCAGCCCCTTCCAAAGAACAGAACAGAGGTGAAGAGAGTGGACACTGCTGTCTGAAGCCACTTTTGATCTACCACTTTGCTCTGTCTGGTTCTCTGGAAAGCAGAGTATTCAGCACCATCAAACAGGAGGGCATGGGGCTTCCTGATTACGTCCATTTTGCCCCAGTGTCTACAGGGCCTTGCTCTATTTGAGTGGCTGTGAATGATGGGGCTTTCCATAAACATACATTATGACCTCAGATCCAAGGTTGACTAATATAACTCAGTGCTCCGGGAGTTCTTCCTGTCAGCCCCCTGCCTCTCTTACTCATGTGCCTTTTGGTGAGTTCATATGTATGAATGATCTAAAAGTTATGTAGGGCATTTTTTTTTTTTTGAGACAGGGTCTCCCTGTAGCCTCAGCTGGCCTGGAACTCACTATGTACCAAGCTAGCCTCAAACTTACAGAGACCCACCTGTCTCTGCCTTCCCAGTACTGGGACTAAAGGCCCATTTTGGGAGGAGGGTAGGGTTGGTATTTTTGAATGAGCTATGCAGGGCATTTTTAAAAACTAGTACATGCCCCTGTCCCAGCACTAAGAGATCTGGAATTATTCTGTCAATCCAGTTCCAGAAAGGACCAGGCACTAGCATTTAAATTAAAAAAAAAAAAAAAAAAAAAAAAAAAAAAAGAAATTCAGCCGGGCATGGTGGCGCATACCTTTGATCCCAGCACTCAGGAGGCAGAGGCAGGCAGATCTCTGAGTTCAAGATCAGCCTGGTCTATACAGTGAGTTCCAGGCCAGATACAGGGAAACCCTGTGTCAAAAAGACCAAAAAAAAAAATAAAAAATCAAGGGCAGCTAGGGTTAAAAAAAAACATTGGTTTGGTTCATGCAGCTAAAATACAGCACAAATGATAGTACCTTCAGAAGTCCACTTGCCCCATTTCTTTGATTTCTGTCCTATCAATTCACCATATCCACCTTCCAAAATCTACAATCATATTCACTCCTTTACTCATCATTTCTGAATCATGTATGGCATAATGGAAATTTCCCAAATAGCAAACCCACCAACCACATGCTACATTGATGACAATATTATCTGGACTTTCTTACCTCCAATTCCTTGGTATCTTTTGACTTTAGGAACACCTTAATGGTTGAGACCATACTCTGAGCACATGAATACAATGTGATTTCTCCTGAGGCCACAGTCTTTTGATAATTTTCACGAATGTATGATAGTAGCTCCTCTTCAGTTTTAAAATCTGGGGGGGGGGTGCATTTTTGATTATCATATTCAGATTAACTCTTTGTATCATTTAAGGGCTTTCCAACTTAGGAGAATTTTGCCTTCCAGGAGAAATCTAACTATGTATGGACTGCCATGACAGGTGCTAGTGATTACTAGCATAAAGTATATCGATGTCTGGGTGATATTAAACATCTTACAGTGTCTAGCACAGCCCACACAAGGAGTGAAGGAGTATCAGGCCTAAAATGTTAATAGTGCCAAGACTGAGAAAGAATAGAGGTGATTAATTTTTTTTTTTTTTTGGCATTTTTGAGATAGGGTCTCCCTGTAGCCCTAGCTGGCCTGGAACTCAATATGTAGACCAGGCTAGCCTTGAACTCAGAGTGATCTACCTGTTCTGCCTCCTGAGGGCTAGGATTAAAGGTGTGCACCACCACACAAGGCACAAGTGATTAATTTTAAGGCTTTGCAACTATATATAAAAGTTTACGGTTAAGATAAAATAACTGTCTTTGTTCATAGAGAACAAATTTTTTCTACCTAAAAAAAATCTGAATTAACAAGAAAGCTCTTTGAATTAATGAGGAATTATAACAAAGTTGTATGAAACAAAGTTAATCTATAAAAGTCTATTCCTTCCTTATGTAATAGCAATGTACAAGTAGAAATTGAAACTAAAGCTACATTAAGATGGTTCAATGGTTAAGAGCACTGGCTGCTCTTGCAGAAGATGGAGCGGTTCAGTTCCCAGCACTGGTGGTTCACAACAGCCTGTAACACCAGTTCCTAGGAATCCAATGCCCTCTCCTGGCCTCCATGGGCACTGCACATACATGGTACACATACATAAATGTAAACAAACACTGGTAGACATAAAAGAAAAATAAAATTTTTTAAAAAAACCAAATTATCAATTACTTCAACACCCCAAAATGATGAAGTACTCAGGAATTAAATATAAAATAATTTAATATTTAACATTTACATGAAGAAAACTATGAAACTGTAAAAGAAATCAAAGAACCAAATAAACGGAAGTGTCCCATGTTTGTGAATAAACAGGCTCCAAACTGTCAAGATCTCAGTTCTTCCTTGTGATCTATAGCTTCAACGCAATCAAATGAAGATCTTAGCAAGTTACTCTTGCTGGCAAACTGATTTTAAAGTTTATATAGAGAGGCTAAAGACCAACTCAATATTGAGAGATAAACAAAATCAGAAAACTAAAAACTATCCAACTTTAAGACTTACAATGAGGATATAGTGTGGTATTAGCAGAACAAAGAATGAACAGGTGTAATAATATAGCAGAATAGAGTTCAGAATTAGATCCATAGTATAGTCAACTGACCTCTGACAAAGATCAAAGGTAATACAATGGATACAAGATAGTCTTTCAACAAATGGTGCTAGAAGTAGGTATCCAAATGTGAAATATTAAGTCTAGACACAGACCTTTTATTCTTCAAAAAAAAAAAAAAACCCTCAAAATGAGTCATAGTCACAAATGTGAAAAGAGCCTAATATTGCTAGAAGTTAACAAAGGAAAAGTCCAGATGGTCTTGGGCAAAGTGATTCTTTTTAAAAACACAACTAAACAGTCATCACCAAAAGCATAATCATGAAAGAAATAATTGTTAGGGTAGACTTCATTAAAAATTAAATACATCTGCAAGGTGTGGTGATGCTCCTTTGTAATCTTAGTACTTAGGAGGGAAGAGGGTCAAGAGTTCAAGGCAAGTCTCAGCTACAAAGTGAGATTCAACGCTAGCCTGTGTTTACATTGAGACCTTGTTTCAAAAAACCAACCGAACAAAAATGGAATACTAATGTTCTATCAACACATTGGCAAGAAAGTAAAAGATAAACCACAGATTCAGAGAAAATATTTGCAAGATATCTGATAAAGGCTCATTATCCAAAATATACAAAGACATCTTAAAACTCATCAAGAACAGAGAAGTGGCTCAATTCATAAAAGGTGCTTGCTGCCAAGCCTGATAACCCAAGTTTGATTCCCTGGGACCCACATAATGGAAGCAGAGAACCAATCCCAGCAAGTTGTCCTCTGACCTTACACATGTACCATGGCACACAGGTGCACATGAGCACACACACATACATACACATGCACTAAATAAAAATGGCTCAGCAGTTAAGAGCACTGACTACTCTTGTAGAGGACCCAGGTTCAATTCCCAGCACCCACGTGGTGGCTACAAACCATCCTTAACTCCAGTTCCGGAGGAATCCGAAGCCCTCTTCTGACCTCTGCAGCATTGCATGACACAGGTGCACTCAAAAATTAAAAAATTATTTAAAACTCAACAAAAAGACCATCTGAGGGCTAGGGTGATAGCTCAGTTGGTACAGTGCTTGCTTTACAAGCATGAGGACTCAAGTTTGATCTCTTGGAATCCATATTTTAAAAAGCTGGGTGTGGTAGAACCTGCTTATAATCTCAGCACTGAGAGGACAGAAACAGGTGGATCCTTTGGGTTTACTAGCTAACCAGCATAGACAACTTATTCAGCAAGCTCCAGGCCAATGAAAGACACTATCTCTAAAACCAAGGTTTTAAAACTATGGCAGCAAATGCCTGTAATCCCAGCACTTAGGAGGTGAAGGCAGGATTGAGAGTAGCCTCTGCTACATAGGAAGTTTTTTCGAAAACATATATTTTATTTATTATTTTTATTTTATGTGTATGAGTGTATTGCCCACATGTAAGTGCCTCCATGCCATGCAATGCCTGCAGAGGACAGGAGTGTTGGATCCCTTGGAACTAGAGTTATGGACAAGTTGTTAGCCACCGTGTGGGCGCTAGGAACTGAACCTGGATCCTCTGCAAGAGCAGCCAGTGCTTTCCACTGCTACGCCACCTCTAACCCCTACATATGAAGTTTGACTCTAGCCTGGCTGTATGAGATCCTCTTTCGAAATAAATGAATGAATAAAGAAAAACAAAGTGGTGGCTCCTAAAGAATGACAGCCAAGGCTATCATTGGCCTCCACATGCATAGGGACAAATCCTAGTCTGGTCTTTACTTCTCTAAGTATTTCTTAGGAGTATTTCTTCTGTTCAGGTGGTTTGTGTGTGTTTTCTCTTCTCCCTTATATTTCATTTATTTGTACAAGGTTACATACAGCCCAGCTGGCCTCAAATTCATTATGCAGCTGAAAATGACACTGAATTTCTGATCATCCTGCCTCCACCTCCCCAGAGCTGAGATTAAAGGAATGTACTATCTATTATACTCAGTTTTATATGATGCTGCAGGGATCAAACACAAGGCTTTCCTGAATGCAAGCACTCTTATCAACTGAGCTACATCATCTTCTAAACATTCATATATTAACAGACACCAAATGTTCTAGAATGAAGGAATACCTTTAAGTTTAGAACTTCTTAATGTTCTTCCTCTGTCTTCCAATTTATCTGCTATTCTTCCACCAATTGACTTTTGGAGCCCTTTCTCCACAGCCACATCTGGACTACCATCTGGATGTAACTTCTGAGCCTTTACATTTAGCCTTGCCACATTCAGCATCTTTAAGGAACGGGACATGGTATTCATCTTCTGTCTCACTGGAGTACAAGGGACACCACCTACCAAAATGTCAACATGGGAAGAAAAGTCAACTTTGATGTCTGTGGAATCTAAACTATATTACTTCAAATACTATGAAAGATACTGAAATGAAGTATGTAAATCCCTTCAGAAATTATGTTAATCAGGTAGTGCTTTCATTTGCTTCTACCTACAATACAGGGTCAATAGGCTCCATCTAACTGAAATTCAGAAACTAAACATCTCAGTGATCTTCACAGAAAGCAAATACCAAAACACCCATTTTGGTGTTACCCAGCAGCCACAGAGGTAATGAGACTTTTATTTTGCAGTGCTAGGGATAGATCCCAGAACTCGTTCATGCTAGGCAAATGTATGCTTTTTCTGAAATACAATTTATTAATCTGCAACAGGAGACAATCTTCAAACTCATTAACACAGTAATTTACTCTTGGAAACTGTTGCCACAGAAATCTTTTAAGAGTACATGTATGACACATGTTGTAGTATTATTTATAATGATAAAAACTGAAATCAACCTACTTGTTTAACAACATGAGTAAAGTAGAATAATTAAAACGGCAAAGATGGGGCGGGAGAGATGGCTCAGTGGGTAAGAGCACTGGCTGCTCTTGCAGAGGTTTGATTTCTAACACTCACTTGGCGGCTAACAGCCATCTATAACTCTGGTTCTAGGGGATCCAATGCCCTCTTCTGACCTCCACAGGCACTGTACAACATGAGTGCACTTACATATATGTAGGCAATATACTCATACACATAAAAATAATAGATGAAGGGGGGCTGGAGAGATGGCTCAGCAGTTAAGAACACTAGTTGTTCTTGCAGAAGACCCCAGTTCGAATCCCAGCACCCACATGGCAGTTAACAACTGTCCATAACTCCAGTCCCAGGGGATCCAACAGCCTCTTCTGACCTCCTCAGGCATTGCACGACATGGGTGCACTTACCTACATGCAGGCAGTGCACACACACACATAAAATAAACATACTAAATAAAATTTAAAAAAATAATAATAGATGAAATATTTTTAAAAATAAGTAAATAAGGTCATGGTGGCACACGCCTTTAATCCCACCACTTGGGAGGCAGAGGCAGGCAGAGCTCTGAGAGTTCGAGGCCAGCCTGGTCTACATACTGAGTTCTAGGACAGCTGGAGCTACAGGGAGACCCTGTCTCAAAAAGACCAAAAAAAAGAAACAAAAAACAGCCTTTTCATGTACATACGTTTCTTTCGGCTGCCTTCTTGATGAGCTATGCCAGAGTCTTCATGGGACTTTCTCTGGTAGAGGTCAGAGAGACAACGTGTTAATTCACTTTCAGTTTTGGAGGACTCTTCCTTATTAGGTGAGGCAGCCTGTAGTAACCTATAAATACAAGATGTATAGTATAAAGCCAAATTCTCATTTCCCAAATGCTTTAAAAACAAAAACAAAGAAAACAGCAGCAAAAAATTCATAATCCTCTTAAAAACTAAAGATGCCCCTATAAGATGTCATCACAGACTATAATATAGATAAGCATGTAGTTAGGAACAAGATTAAAACCTTGTTAATTGTCACAGTTGCTTCAGATGTTCAAAGAAATTAAGCAGTACAGACACAGTTAAAGCCCCACTCCATCTTTTCTGATCCATGCTCCCTACAGGTATTTCTAAAGGTGTTTGTATCTTATGCATAGATACACACATGCACGCACACACACAAATAAATTTCTATTTTATGTTGCAAATTTTATATAAATTGTATCACACAATTTCACCTTTTACAACTGTTCCTACTCAACAGGCACATTTGTGTGTGTGTGTGTGTGTGTGTGTGAGAGAGAGAGAGAGAGAGAGAGAGAGAGAGAGATGTGTGCCTGGGCATGTGCACCATGATACTTGTATAGAGGTCAGAGGACAACTTTGTGGAGACATTTCTCTCTTTCCTCCTTTACGCAGATTCTAGGGATCAAATTCAGGTTATCAGGTCTCTGTGGCAATCACCTTTAATCCACTGATCCATCTTACTGGCACCTAACTTGACTTTTCAAAGAGCCATGTTTAGTCTCTGTTGATCACCATTATTTATTTTCCATGTAATTCATATTCTTATTACTGCCTTCCTATGTTTGGGTAAGGAGGTTTCAATTCTTTCTCTTTTTAATTTCAATTTTTTGTTGTTGCTGACTTATTTTTATGTGTATGAGGGTTTTGTCTGCATGTAAGTGCTCCCATGTATGCAATGACAGCAGAGGTTAGAACAGGGCATCAGATTCCCTGGAACTGTGTTTACAGATGGTAGTTAGCCACTATGTGGGTATTGGGAACTGTACCTAGGTTCTCTGCAAAGCAGCCAGTGTTCTTAACCACTGAGCCATCTCTCCAGCCCCAACTATTTTTCTTTTTTGAGACAAGTCCTGCTAGGCAGTCCATGCTGGTCTTCAAACTCCATCTTCCCAAGGGATTGATTATAAGAAAGTACCTTCATGCCTCTTTTTCCTTTCTTGTGTTGGATTCTTAGCTAGTTTTTAACTTTTCTTTACAGAAATAACCAGTGAAGTCTATAAATATTCCCTTCAGTATAAATTAACCTGTATTACACAAGTTTGCCATTTTTTTTCCATTACATTTATTATTTATTTACTTGTTTATATGTGTATACACACACACACACTCATGTGCTACAGTGTGCTTGTGGCAGTCAGAAGACAACGTTCTGGAGTCAATCCTCTTCTTCCTCCATATGGGTTCCAGGGATCAAACTCAAGTCTCAGGTATGGTGACAAGTAGCTTTACTTGCAGAGCCAACTCACCAACCCAAGTTTGCTTATTTTCTACTTTCATTACTTAGTTCTAAATGTTTTCTAATACTTAGTCCTAAATGTTTTCTGATTCCCATATTATATATATGGGAGTGTTTAATCTCTATTTTATTTTTTTTCTAAAATTTTTAAAAATAAGGAACATGCCTGGTGTGGTGCAAAACGTCTTTAATCCCAGCACTCGGGAGGCAGAGGCAGGCGGATCTCTGTGAGTTCACGACCAGCCTGGTCTACATAGTGAGTTCCAGGGCAGCTGGGGCTACAGAGACCCTGTCTCAAAAAGACCAAAAAAAGAAAAAAAAAAAGGAACACTTCGTGAATCTGTGTCATCCTTAACCAAGGGACATGCTAATCTCTTTATTGTTCCCATTTTAGTATATATACTGCTGAAGCAAGCCCAATTTGACAAACTTTTTTTACTGGAAATTTCTAAACCACATCCAGATATTTGAGAACTGATTTTAATAATCATTATACAGAGATATATAAAAAATTGCTTTACCAAAATGATTCCATCAAGTTTGAACTGGTGCCACTGATGTTAGAGAAAGGAAACCACTTTTCCACAATAGCCGAACTCCAGGGGATAGTACATTTAAGCTCCTGCTGGGCCCACTCTGGAACAGGGAGAACTAAAGGAACACAGGGACAGAAGAAAGGAGGCATCAGAACCAAAGCAGAGATTCCAAGTCCTTGCTCTTCCCCTGGACTGACTCCTCCCTTCAAAGGACATACAAATGTTCATCAGTAACAGTATCTGCTCTTCTGCCTCACCATCGTCTACAGGTCTATCTTGTCTATGAAAAATGAAAACACAATTTGAAAAATTCATTCTTACTTGCAACAATCCCCTTCATCTTATTTCTGAAATATTATTCTACATATGTTTAAAATTATGCTATTTTTCTATTCTTAGAAATTTACTCCCTTTTAGCTGGACATGGTGGTGCATGCCTTTAATCCCAAGACTCAGGAGGCAGAGGCAGAGGCAGAAGGATCTCTGTGGCCTCCATAGCTAATCTAGCCCAACTGTGGCTATAGGGGAGACCCTGTCTCAAAAAAGACCGAAAAAAAGAAAAAAAAAATTTACTCCCTTTTAAAAAAGTGGCTTTTAAGACAAGAATAAATAATGCAGTAATATAAGAGCAGCCTAAGGGTTGGAGAGATGGCTCAGCAGTTAAGAACACTGGCTGTTCTTGCAGAAAACCCGGTTCAAATTCCAGCACCCACATGGCAGCTAACAACTGTCCATAACTCCAGTTCTAGGGGATCTGACAGCCTCTTCTGTCCTCTGTGGGCATTGCATGACACGGGTGCACTTACCTACATATAGGCAATACACACATACACATAAAATAAAAATAATGAATAAAATATTTAAAAAAAAAAAGAGCAACCTAAAACTGCAGATCTACATCAAGGAAGTACATTTGAAATGATAAGACATGGCACTGTATGATAGAAAGGGAGGCTCTCTCAAAACAAGCCGGTTAGAGCAGGTGGTTGGAACACTAGCAAAAACTTAGGTCCTCACTTGGATAAGAGTGTGGTGGGGAGCCTGGACAGTAAGTTATCACGCTGATTTGTACTTTCCAAGGAAATGTGAGGCAGGCTGGAGCATGGAACACTGGTACAATACTCAGAATGCTGTTTTACAGTATTCTAAAATACAGTTTTCAATCTAGAACTTTATAAACAATTAAGTTATGGTCTGTTCCACTGCAATACAAATATTCTGTAATACAAACAGCTCCCATGATTGGCAAATAAGACAATGACATAAATATAAAACATTATATATTTTGATTAACATGTGATTATTACTAATATGATAATACTTTACATTACCAAGTAGCAACAGCTGAATCTGAAGTGGACTAACACAACCAGCCAGAAGACCTCAGCACCACCCACCACACTCTTTCAACCCACACTCTTCCCTGTTTGGCCACATGCTTTTCCTTGTCATTCACTCTTATCTGTATAATACCACAGACTCAGTCCTTCTTCTCACTACCATTAAACCATCGTCACCTTTTGGTTAAAGGATAAAGTATATTATGGAGTTTTCTTATTATGAATTTAATGTACCTTGTTTTTTCTGTTGTTGTTGCATGACCTGTGTGCCACAATGCAAATGTGGAAGTCAGAAGAAAACTTTACTAAGTTGGTTCTCTAGTTTATCTGGGTTCTCAAGATAGAACTCGGGTCCTCAGGCTTGACAGCAAGCACCTTTACCCTCTCAGCCATCTCACTGGTCCTGAGGGTTTTTTTGTTTCAAAGAATAATTTGGGGCCATCAAGATGGCTCAGCAAGTTAAAAGTACTTGTCCTCAAACTTCACAACCTGTGTTCAAGTGCCAGGACCACATGCAAAATAGACAGAATCACTAGTTTTACACAGTCTTGATTTTTAAGATTTTGGTTTTAGATTTTGTTTTGTTTTGTTTTTTTTGAGACAGGGTCTCCTTGTAGCCCCAGCTGGCCTGGAACTGTTTATGTATACTAGGCTGGTCTCAGTCTCACAGAGATCCACCTGACTGCCCCCTAAGTGCTGGGATTAAAGGCATGCACCTTCATACTCAGCTTATTTTAAGTTCTAAAATTAATTTCTTAAACACACAAAATGGTTTCATTGTATTTTTTCTATTTTTAAGTTTTCCATTATGAAATTTTCATACATTGATCATTGTGCCTGCTCCTACCCCCCCTATTTGTCCCCCACTCTCTTCCTCCTGCTGGTCCCCTTCCCACCCTCAAATAGTTCTTCTGCTTCCATGTCATACATATGCATATACATGTATGTATACAGAAAAGCAGATTTCACATGAGAGAAATATGGGATATTTTGTCTTTCTTTCCCATTACACTGTTGCTACCCATGTCTCTCCCCTTTGACCCTCTTCCCGTCTACTTTTTTTGTCTTATATCTATATCCATCTACATATATACATACATACATTTATATGCAGTTTTCATTAAATATATTAAAAGGGCCAGGCTTCATCTTATGACTGATTTCAAATTGTTCATAGGGCCTTCAACCTCCTCAGAAGTACTTCAGATCTCTAAGAATAGTGATTTAAACTGCCTGAAATTCTATAGCTTGCTTTTATCTGTCTTACAACATCCTGGGGCTCTACTAAATGCATGATTAAAAAAAGTTATGATACTGGAAAAGAGTACAAACCACCCAGCACTGTTAATTACTGTCTAAAAAGCTTACCAGAAGCAGCAGGATCTTCAAATGAATTATGAACCTGATTAAGTACACTATCTACAACATCTGAGAAAAGGGAAGCTGTTTCCTGGGGGCCTTCAGCCCCAACTGTCTGGAGAAAATGTCTTTGAAATTCAGCCTCCTTGGCTCGGAATACAGTGAGAATCATAGCATTGGCAGAGAGTGGGGAAATAACTCCAGTGATGGGGGGCCAGCCTTCACCAGGGTCCACACTGGCAACCTACAAAACCATGTTAATTAGTTGAGATTATTGTTGTCAATATGCATAAAAAATGTAGCCTAATGAAAGATTGAATAGTTGGCTATTAGTAGCAGTAGGGAATTTTTACTAATTACATAGTACTAAAGCTTCAATTTATAAGAAAAACTTTACCGGTTAATATTTGCTATTCACTTACTGTCTCAGCATCTTTCTGATTTTATTTATTTCATTTTCTTTTACTTTAGTAATGAAAGACAGAAAAGGGAGTCTTCTTCAACTGGGAAAAGGAACAAAGATCCAAGTGCTTCTACTTCCAATTTTAGTATATGTGCAGCTGAAGCAAGCATAGCTACATACTATGTATTCACTGAATCTTTACAAATGATCATTGTTGCTGGGTGTGGAGGCACACACCTTGAATTCCAGCACTCAGGAAGCAGGTGGAGCTCTGTGAGATTGGGACCAACCTGGTCTACATAGTGACCTCCAGGCCAGCTGTGGCTACAGGGAGACCCTGTCTCAAAAAGAAGATCATTTTTTCCATTTTATAGAGGAAGGACTGAGGGTGAGAAAAAAGGAACCTGTTTAAGGTCACCTTGTTAGTGCAGGAAGCTAGATATATCAAAACCCATGTACTTGATTGTGGGGAAATACTATCACATAAGGGATTTATCCAGAACAGGTAGCAGACCTGAGACCCAATCTCAAGGTGGCCTGACTCCCCAACTTTGTCTACTCATATTATTCATATAATCAAGGTTTTATGATGTTATTAATGCAATGTAGTGCTCTTTTCATTGGCGCATGCAACTTAAAGAACAGCATCTGTTTAGAGACAAAATCTAGAATCATTCTCTAAAATCTTTCACCAGAGGATTCAGAATAAAGATGCTTCCTGTGCCAGACATGGTGATGTATGCCTTTAACTCCGGCACTTGGGAGGCAGAGGCAGGTGGATCACTGAGAGATGGAGGCCAGCCTGGCCTACATAGTGAGTTCTAAGCTAGCTGGGGTTACAGGGAGACTCTGTCTCAAAAAAGGCCAAAAAAAAAAGATGCTCCCTGAGATTACAATGGCAAAGAAAAGTAAAGAACGTGTTTGCTGGTAACTAAAAAATAGCCATCATTTTAAAATCAAATCTGGGTGCATTTGTGCTCCTTTTCAGAAGACATTACTAAGTTGAGTAGCTACTCTATTATATTTAATTTTATAATGTAACTTTTTCTTAAATATATTAAAATCAAAGTATATACTAGAATATTTAACAATTAAGAAATCACCTATCACCTATCACAGTCCAATATAACCATTCAAATAGGCCAACTATCTTTTCTCCTATGTATATTCAAAGTATTTAACCTAGCCAGGCATGGTGGAGCATGCCTTTAGCCCCAGCTGATCTCTGTGAGTTCAAAGCCAGCCTGGTCTACATAGCGAGTTCCAGGCTAGCTGGGGCTACAGGGAGACCCTGTCTCAAAAAAGGAAGGAAGGAAGGGAGGGAGGGAGGGAGGGAGGGAAGGAGGGAGGGAATTTAACCTAATTGGATTCAAGGTGCATGCAATTTTACAAATCTCTTCTTTATTAATGAACATTCTTTTCATGATGCTAAGATACAGAGAATATTATCTGTAAAAACACCACCAGTTGTACTAAGATTATAGTAGGTAAGGCAATCCTTGGCATCTTGGCATTTTACAGACATGCTTATCTCTTATCAGCAGTATGCTATTAGACAACAATCACTAGCATGTGGAAGACACTTACCAGATGTAACTCTTCAGCAGTCAGCTTGCTTACCAGCTCCTGAAATAACAGTCTCTGAGTTGATTTGTGCTCTTCTGGACTTTGTAGCTTCCAATTGTCAGTGCCTAAAATGTCGCTCATTGGGAGAGACCACTGGGCCACTGAACCTTTTAGAAAAATTCTAACTGGTTTCTGAAAATGTCTCTGATGCATGGCTAAAGGCTCTAAGGAAACTGTCCATGTTTCTTGAATCTCTTTGCCTGTTAGAAATAAAGAACATTAACATTCTAATACATGAAACAGTTTCTAAAAAGAATTTCATAGGGAGAATGAAAAGAATCAGATTTCCAGTTGAGGTAATTAATGGGTATTGTCACTCAATTCACATTTTGACCCTTAGTCTATTGACTGCAAGCTATCAGAGCAAGTTCATTAGGCTCTATAGAGAAAGCGGTATACAAATGGATTGGTATCAGAACTTCTGGGGAGGCAGATGCAGGATCTCTCTGAGTTTAAAGCCAGCCTGGTCTACATAGCAAGTTTCAGTTCTACCAGGGCTATGTAGTGAGAGACCCCATCTCAAACAAACGCACACACACACACACACACACTCAAATAGTACTACTTAAAAGAAATAACACTCCTTGCTGGATATGGTGGTACATGTCTGCAGTCCCAGCACTCAGGAGGTTAAGGTGGAAGGATGGATAGTTCCAGGAGGCCAATTAAGTTACAGCTCAAGGTCCTATTTCAGAAAATACCAGAGAACAAAAATGAAAAACATTTAGTTTGGTAAGCTCAGGGTATGGTTCAGTGATAGAATGCTTATCTAGCATGCAGGCCCTGTGTTCAACTCTCCTGGCACCAGGGAAAAAAAAAGAGACTCCCCCATAAAAGACTTACGTCTTATAAGAAGGTTAAATTCTAAAGACTAAACGGTAAATTACTGAAACAAAAGTATTCTTTAGAATGCCTTAAACTGGCTAACTGTGGGATCATACATCTATAATCCCATCTCAGAAGTTCAAGCCCAGACTCAGCTACATAGCAAGCTTGAGGATAGCCTGGGTTATATGAAACCTTGTCTCAAAAAACTTAAAACGCGTTAGAGATGGCTCAGTAGTTAAGTGTACTGGCTGCTCTTGCAGAGGACCTGGGTTCAATTCCTGACACCCACATGGTAGCTAACAACCAACTGTAACTCCAGTTCTAGGGGAATTCAACGTCCTCTTCTGATCTCCTTGGGCACTGCATAACATGGGTGCACTTACATACATATAGGCAATACACTCATACACATAAAATAAAAATAATAAAGATTTTAAAAACTTTTATTTTTATTTTTTCGTCTTTTTGAGACAGAGTCTCCCTATAGCCCCAGCTGGCCTGGAACTCGCTATGTAGACCAGGCTGGCCTCGAACTCACAGAGATCTGCTTGCCTCTGCCTCCTGAGTGCTAGGACTAAAGGCATGCACCACCATGCCTGGTTTATTTTTAAAAACCTAAAAACAAAAAATCTTTAAGGCTGTACATAATTATAATATAGTCTAATGCACATATTTCTATGCAGTATTTTTTGTATGAGTGCATAATGTATTCAGAAACAAGATTCACCATGTAGCAAATTAAATGGGAAGCAAATATGTGAAGATGGTGGCTTTTCCTGATAACAAGCATCATTCAGGGGCTCTGTAATTTATTTTTCAGCCAAACAGTTTTATCGTTCTCTAATTTATCAATTTCTTCTATGAGACAAAGAAATCTTAATATCCATATGCTTATGCATCTGAACAATATTATTCTTTCAGGACAGCCAGAAAATACTTTATAATCATTCACTTGTTTTCTCACACATGCATCAGCAATTGTATTACAAGTTCAATCCTGGGGCTGGAGAGATGGCTAGCGGTTAAGAGCATTGATTGCTCTTGCAGAGGACCCAGGTTTGATTCCCAGCACCCACATGTCAGGTAACAAACATCCTAACTCCAGTTCTGGGAGATCTGACACTGTCTTCTCTCCTCTGCAGATATTGCACAACATGAGTGCACTTACACACATGTAGGCAATACACTCATACACAAAAATAAATTTTGAAAAAAAACCAAAGAAGTTCAATCCTTCCTGTGATATCTCTGATTTTGCTTATGCATTTTTCAATTCCTTCAATTACAAACATTAACTGAGTATCCAGGCTATAGGAAATGCCAAAGAAATTCAAAGCATGGACCTGGACCTGCCTTGAACTAAAAAATGTAACTAAGATTTTTGTAAAGTTATTTGCTTACCTTTAACAGGAAGAAATAATGTTCCTTCCATCTGTGGAAATGAGGCTTCATACTCAAGAGAATTATAGAGTAAACAGTTTAAAGTGGCATCAGTTGGCAGAGCTGAAATCCATGGGGAGAGGCAAGGTTTGCAGGACAGTTTGCCTTCACCCCCCAGCATTGTTTCCCCAGCTTTAATAAAACCCTGGCTCCAAGTTTCTGATGGCAAGACAGTGCCTCCTCCATGGTGGAGCAGTTCACAAACTGTCCAATAACCAATGTGGTCTGGGGATTCCCATAACTAAAATAAATATGACAAAGAAACTTGAGTTAGTAAGTTTGCAAATTAGGCACTTAGGAATAAACCAGAGAAAAATCAGGAAAAAGCTGGTATCAACATTAAAGGATCAAATTACATAATCAATAAATTTGTCAAAACATGCACAAATAATGACTAGTATCTATTACTATATAGTTCATGAACACAATTACCACGTAATGTGCCTTCAAGAAAACATTTATTTGAGGCTGGAAAGATGGCTCAGTAGTTAACTGACTTCACTTGCAGAAGACCTGGGTTTAGTACCCAGTACCCACATGGTGGCTAACATCCATCTGTAACTCCAGTTCCAGGGAATCTGACACTCTCTTCTGGCCTCCATGGGCATTCAACACATGGTACACTTACATACATGCAGGCAAAACACTCATACACATAAAAAAAAAATAATTAAGAAAAATATTTATAGTAGTAGGGAGATGACAGTACTTGTCTTGTAGGCACAAAAATTCACTTAAAAGCTACAGTCCCAGCCCTTTTTACTATATTTCATTTTGACACAGGGTCTCATCAAAAAGAATGATCCAGGGGCTGGAGAGATAGCTCAGTGGTTAAGAGCACTGACTGCTCTTATAGAGGACCCAGGTTTGATTCCCAGCACCCACATGGTGGCTATAAACCATCCTTAACTCCAGTTCCAGGGGAATCCAAAGTCCTCTTCTGACCTCCACAGCATTGCATGACATGGGTGCATGCATAAACATGCACACAATACACTTGTACACATAAAATCTAAAAAAAAAAAAGATCCATCTATGGTGGCACATGCCTCTAATCCCAGCATTCTAGAGGCAAAGGCAGATGGACTCTGTGCAATGGAGGCCAGCCTGGTCTACATAGAGTTCCAGGCCAACTGGTGCTACAAGGAATCCCTGTATCAAAAACAAAAACAAAACAAAAAATGTGACATATGAAAATAATTTTTGAAAATTATATTTTTCTACTTTTATGCATATAAGGTAGCAGACATGTCCTAGCAGCAGCTTCAAATCTGAGGGTCTGTAAATGTTCAGAGGGCCATAAACTCCAAGAGCACAGAGACTACATCTATCTGGTTCCCTAACAGTAAATTAGCCCCTAGGATACCTAGCAGGTATGTTGCAAATCTGCTGAATAAAGCAGAATATATGTCAGGAGTCTCTCATCCACTCCATCCCATATTTGGGCATGACTTGAGTGCTCTGATCTCTCTGCTTCCCATCTGATTCCAGGTTCTGTTTCTCTCAGTTCTTCCTGCCTGTGAGCCCACCAAGACTGGAGCCTGCGTAAGTCTCCCTTTTGCTTCCAGGGGTAGTTAAGCTGAGGGTTCCAAGTTGGGAAAAGACAGAGCTTCAGCAGAAAAAAAAAATTTTCAGGAGAGTTTAAAGATACTTCCTGTAAGAAGAGGAAACGGTAAATTTGAAAAGGAAAGTCTCAGAGAAAACCTGTGACCTTGAAGGGATCTTTCAAGTCTCATGACAGCCTAGTTATTTTAATGCTGCTCCAGAAAAATACGAAAGGAATCTCCAAGACCCATCTGCTAAGACTTATTTATAGTCAGTAGTTGACATAATACAATTTGAAATCTTTGATAGGATTTGATATCAATTACCTCAAGTCAAGCACTTTCATTATACTCTGTGTCTCACGCTTGGTTTCTTTTAATTTTTACTGCACCCGTACTGTACAATGCCCTCAGAAATCAGAAGATGGTATTAGATCCCCTGGAACTGGAGTTAGGATGTTTGTTAGCCACCATGTGGGTGCTGGGAATCGAACCTGGCTCCTCTTCAAGAGCAGCCAATGCTCTTAACTTCTGAGCCATCTCTCCAGCCCCATAACACTTAATTTTTTTCACTTAACAAACTTTAATTCTACCTTCTTGTTTGGTCTGTATCTGGTACCTATATCCTTGATGATGATGATTGATTATTCTTTTTCATCCACTCTGGATTTTTTTTTTTAATTTTTATTTTATGTGTATGAGTGTATTGCCTGCATCCTGTCGTGCAATGCTTCGGAGGTCAGAAGAGGGAACTGGAGTTAAGGACGGGCCTCCGCAAGAGCAGTCACTGCTCCCAACTGCTGAGCCATCTATCCAGCCCCCACTGGATTTTTTAAAAAATAGGAAAAGCATCTTGGAAAAAAAGTTAATTTTTAAGATTCCATTTTCCAGGGCTAGAGAGATGACTCAGCAGTTAAGAGTGCTTAATGCTGCAGGGCATGGTGGCGTACACCTTTAATTCAAGCACTTGGGAGGCAGAGGCCGGTGGATCTCTGGGAGTTCAAGCCCAGCCTGGTCTACATAGTGAGTTCCAGGCCAGCTGGGACTACAGGGAGACCCTGTCTCAAAAAAAAAAAAAGAGTATTTAATGCTGTTGCAGAGGACCCGGGTTCAGTTCCCAGCACCCACACAGCAACTTACAACCATCTCTTTCCAGAGTTTCAAAGGATCTGGCACCTTCTTTTGGCTTCCTCAGGCACACAATGCATATACATACATGTAGGCAATCACTCATATACTCCAAGTTATAAAAAAAGATTCCATTCTCCCCATCAACTGTTCATCTCCTTAACTACTTTTTGTCTTTTCGTTTATCCTCTTTGACAAACTATAGCTGCCTTATTTTGAATTCCTCAAGTCTTTTGAGACTTCTTTGTGAAAGCAACTTGGAATTCTTTTGTTTTGATTCAGGGTCTCATGTAGCTCAGGCTGGCCTTAAACTCACTCTGTAGCCCAGGATGCCCCTAAACTTCTCATCTTCCTGCCTTCACATCACAAATGCTCCCAAATGTTCCTAACTCCTCCCAGATCCACCGCCCCATTTGAAATCTTAACATTATTGGTTTTAAACACCTGTTGATTTCCCATCTGTAATCTTGCAATTTAGCCCACTTGTAGTATAGTGATATGTATTTCTACTCATTGGAAACATCTTTCACCTGTTTAAATCACCTTCTAAAACCTCATTGATTAAAACAAAATCAATGTATAGATGTATAGATTGGCCACTTCTTTCCCTTATCAGGGCTCAGTGTTCCCAGCCTTTGGGTTTGTAAAACTAAGCTCATTCCTAGCTCACATCCCTAGGCCTGGTCTTCTCTATTGTCTGGAATGTTCTTTCCCAGCCTTCACATTCTTCCTCCTTCACATCAATTCTCTGCTCAGAAGACCCTCCCTGACTACCATCCTTATCTACAGTAGCCACTTGCCTTCCCCTCCTCTCCCTCAGCTTTTTTCTTCAGAGTACGATTTGAAATCCTATCACTTATATGCTCATCTGTTTAACACATCTTCCACACTAAAAAGTAAAATCTATTTTTGCCTCATCTATAGCAGCTAAACAGGGTATGTGCTCAATGCAGCCATTTATCAATGAATATCTGTAAACTAAATGGCGTAATATGAGGACAATACCTCTTATAAAGGTAAAAAAAAATAAATATTTGACTAAAAAACACACATGGGGCTGAAGAGATGACTCAGTGGTTAAGAACACTGGCTGTTCTTGAAGAAGACCTGGGTTCAAATCCCAGCACCTACATGGCAGCTAACAACTGTCCATAACTCCAGTTCCAGGGGATCGGATAGCCTCTTCTGTCCTTCACAGGCATTGCATGACACAGGCACACTTCCCTAACATGCAGGCAATACATGCATACACATAAAATAAAAATATTTTAAAAAATTAAACACACACATATTAATGTAACATGGAAGCAGAAGATCAGGAGTTCCAGGTCATCCTCCAATACAGAGTTCCAGGTCAGTCTGGGCTACAATCTGGGCTGCACTAATTTGTTTAAAAAACTAACAAAGTATCCATATATATAATGAATGTGTGTACATACATTTATCACAGTACTTACAGGAGCAAGGGGCTTAATTAGCAATTTAAGACTAAGTTTGTAAGAAGTGATTCATTTCATCAGCAAATATTTTGAGATTTTTGTTTTGGTTAGGTTTTTTGAGACAAGATCTTGCTATGAAGTCCTAGCTAGCTTGCTATTCACTAGGCAGCCCAGCCTGGCTCTGAACTGGTGGCAATCCTCCTGCCTCAGCCTCCCATGGACCATCATTTAAGTATTTTTAGAATAGATGGAAAGTGACTGGCACGGCAATTCAGAGGCTGACTCCTCTAGTTGTCATTTGGGCAAGGCCTTACGTTGAGACAGGTTTCCTCTGGCTTAGAAGGGGTCTAGAGGTACATGCCGACCGAGCAGCATGGGACAGGGCAAGAAGTCAGGATCTGTGGACTAGCTTAGAATGGGTTTCCATTGACTGGAATATACGTGCTGTGCTGGAAAAGAAAGTCTGCAAAGGTATCCAAGGCCTTCCAAGCTTTTAGCTGGTGGCTACCCGGGACCTTCCCATTTTTGTTGGGAAAACTGTCCCTCTTGCTTTGTGACTGCAGGGCTCTGGGAAGGGACACATTCAGGGTCTCCGGCACTCTGCCAAGTTCTAGCAGGCGGGGAGTACCGTGCCCGGGATCCGAGGCTGCTCTCGCCTTACCGTAGACCTTTCGGTGGTGTCCACCCAGTACAAGGTGATGTTTCGGACGGTCATGACCTCCTGGACTCTCTTGGGTAACAACTTCTCCATCACCTGCTTGGATGTGAGCGGGACGCACTGAGCCTGGGCCTCACACCCAGACACGAACTGTAGCAGCTCCCTCTGCGAGTGTGGACAGGGCGCCAGGAGGAAGACCACGTTCCCAAACCCTCCGAGCGCGGCCTCGGCCCCCTGGGCCTCGCTGTTGGCGCCCAACAGTCTCCGCCCGCTGCTCCGGAGGACCGGCTTGGTGGGTGACGTGATCTCGGGCCGGTCCCACTGGTAGTCGAGCAGCGTCTCCATCAGGGCGCCGTGCGTGTGGGTGGCCCTGGGCGCGGGGCCCGGCAGGTGGGCTCCAGGAGCACGATCCCCGAGCCTGGCCTCCAGTTCCTCCTCGAAGTCCTCCCAGGACCGGGTCCCCAGCTCTCGGAAGTCAGACACCCGAGAGGGCCGGCTGCGCGCCCCTTGAGAGTCAAAGAACTTGAAGGTCCAATGGACCCGGGCCAGGCCGAAGCGGCAGCTCAAGTAAGTGAGGAGGCGCAGGGCGGCCCGCCGCATCAAGCTGTGGCGAGCCGCGTCGCCTGCGGTGTCCACCAGCAGCATCACTTTGTGACAGCAGATCATCTCGGCCTCCCGGGGTCAGCACCCGGGCGCGCGCGACCCTTCAGACAAGCAGCGCCATTCACCGCTCCCCTCAGGCCGGACTCGAAAGGCTCCCGCGCTCTCCGTCAGCTGCTGCTATTGGAGGAGCGGGTTCCCAAGCTCAGCTCTTATTGGTTGCTGGCTGTACGTAAGCTGCGTGTGTACTTCCACTTTTGACGCTCACTGGAAGGGTGGTGTGCAAAGCCTCGGTTTGATTGGTGGAGGGTGTGACTGTGGGCGGGGCTTTGGGTTCCTGGAGAAACTTAGCACTCATTGGCCTGAGGCTTGGTTTTAAAATTTAAAGAGGCGGTTCTTCGGGGGGGTGTCGAGCCTATGGGCGGACACGGAGGCTGGCCTTTGGGCGGCAGTGCGCAGGCGTGCAGAAGGACTGCCAGAGCCCTGCAGGGTTTACCTAGACCCTGAGTGCTGGGCGGTGCGGGCCAAAGGGCCCTTGGGAGATGTGAGCCAGGCTCATTTTAAACCACTCCTTAGCCTGTGAGCGAGCAAAAGAAATTAAAATTTTCATAATCCCAACACTCGGGAGCTAGAGGTAGAAGGTTACGGGTTCGAGGCCAGCCTGCACTACTTAGCAAGGCCACGGGAGCTGGGATCACAGTGGGAGGACCCTGGATGCTCTAACAAAGACCGGAAGCCAGGGAAGGGCTCTGAGTTCTAGGTGAAAAATTGAACTTAAATGGGCAAAAATAGAAACAGGGAGATCCACCAGGAGTCTGCAACGCATCTGGGAGGCTGTTTTACAAAGTAAGGAATTAACACACCAGAAAGCACCAAACCAGTTCATTGGATGTAGAAAGAAAAGATTAGACCTTCTGCATCCCCTGTGTCTGCTTTCTAAAAAGAAAAAAATCTCACAGCTTGTTCGTTAAGTAGTGTTTTGTGGCATACCGAGGGTTTTTTGTTGTTGCTGTTGTTGTTTGGTGGGCGTTTTTGTTGTTTTTTGTTTTTTTAGCCAATTGGGCTATCCCCAAACTGCATATGTAACTGAAGATGACCTTGAGTTCTGATCGCTCTGCATCCACCTTCCAAGTCCTGGGATTACAGGCATGCCTGGTTTATTGGGTAATGGGGATCAAATCCAGGGCTTCATGCATGCTAACCTTCCAAGCACTCTACCAACATCCTCAGCACCCATATATGTTTCTTATATAGTACTTGATTAAGTGGATTTAGGATTATCGGACTGGGTTTTACTTAAAGTGACTCAAAAAATGGACAAGTGGCTTTATATGATCCCTATTCTGAGGATACGTTATTTTTTTTCTATTTCTTTTTTTTTAATTGTACTATTTTTATTTTATGTGTATGAGTGTATTGCCTGCATGTATGTAAGTGCACTTGTATTGTGCAATGCCCTTGGAGGTCAGAAGAGGGCATCGAATCACCTGGAACTAGAGTTATGGACAATTGTTAGCTGCCATGTGGGTGCTGGGAATACATCAAAATGATGACTATTCACTTCCTAGAATGAGATCTTTATCAACCATAACTTGAAATAAAAAGACAATTTGATCAGATGTTACACTTATGTTGTCCAGATAAAATCTGGAATTTTTCTAGCATGGACAGGGTTACTCACAAGCCCCCACCCCTAACTGAGGAACTATGGACAGTGGATAGCTTAGTAGATTGACCTCTTTTCTAGTGGATGGCCTGGCACTCATGAGTATACGGCAGCAAAAAATGAACTGGGGGGTTATTAAAAGCAAAAAAGCACCAAGTTGACTAAGTTGGGCGGGGGTGGAGGAAGTTGGGGGGTGAGGAGAGCAATCTGGGAGGAGTTAGGGAGAGGAATAGGGGACATGATCAGAATACAGTGACTACAATTCTTAAAGAATTAATAGAAATAATTTTCGTGTGTGTGTGTGTGTGTGTGTGTGTGTGTGTGTGTGTGACCATGCCTAGCGTTTGACGAATGTCTTTAATGAAATAAAAAGGTTTGACATGGCCAGGTGTGGTGGCTCACACCTTTAATCCCAGCGCTCAGGAGGCAGAGGCAGGTGGATCTCTGTGAGATTGAAGCCAGCCTGAACTACATATCCAGTCCCAGGTCAGCTGGACAGCTGGGGCTACAGGGAGACCCTGTCTAAAAAAGACCAAAAAGAAAAGAAAAAAAAATAGGATTTTATAAGGCTATTAGATTTTTATTGTCACTGTTGTTCTGGTATTTTGATACAAGACCATAATATAGATCCCAGATTGGCCTGTCACTCTCCTTAATCCTCCTGCCTCAAGCCTTCAAAGTGCTGGGATTACAGGTGTGTACCACCACACCAGGCAAGGTTATTCAAAATGAGGATCAATGGGGATCTTTTTTTCTTATCCTTAACCTACGTGTATGTTGTATCCTGAAATTTAGCTTAAGTGGTAATATGAAAGCTGGCCATGTTGGCATTTTCTGTAATCCCAGCATTTTGGAGGCTGAGGCAGGAGGATCCAGAGTACAAAGTAAGCTTGAACTACATTGCAAAGCTTCTATCTCCAAAAAAAAAAAAAACCAAAAAAACAAACAAACAAAAAAACCAAGCTGGGGCATGGTGATCCATGCCTTTAATTCCAGTGCTTGGGGGGCAAGGCAGGAGGGTCTCTCTGAGTTCAAGGCCAGCATGGTCTACATAGTGAGTTCCATGTCAGCTGAGGTTACAGGGAGACCCTGTCTCAAAAAGACCAAAAACAAACAAACAAATAAAAAAAACCTCAATCTCTCATAATTTGTTAGGCATTTAAAATTTCCTTTTTTGGCACTAAAGAGTTTCTTATTGTTTATGTCATTGTTTCTTTTTTATGTTTTATAATACGTATTAGAAAAGTATCTATATATACAGTAAATATGCATATATTGAGGTATTAAGGGTATAGATTCAAACCTTTATATATGTATTTTAAATTATATAAAATGTAATTCTATGTACTTAAGGGAAACCATCAAATCTACACTTTATGGCAATGGTTTTGGACCAGGGTGCATATGGTTGGGACAATGAGCCCTGATTGTATTGGATATTTTGGATGTAGAGATACACAGAACTTGCCAATAGATTGAAAAGTAGAATAACTTCTGAGTTTGGGGGCCTGAAAGCTGAATAGAAAGTAGAGAAGGCTCAGTGAGAAAGCAATGGGGAGAAGGGGGCAGAATATCAAAGCCTCCAGCCAAGCAACAGTTAGGTTTAAGATATCAGCTGGACCCCTGTGATGGTTAGCTTTAATTATCAACTTGATACAGAATGAGCCTAGAATGATATGGGAAGAGACTCTCAATGGGGATCCTCTACATTGAACTGGCCTGTGGGCCTGTCTGTGGGGGATTGTCTTAAAGAAATTAATGCATGTGGGATGTCACTGGGCAACACCATTCCCTAAGCAGGGCATCTTGAACTGAGCCATGTGCACCCTAGTCCAAAGCCTCAAAGGTCCACCCATAGTGACCTACATTGGTCAGTCATGATGCCGACCCCAAATTTCCACAACACTCAGAAAATGACACTGGGGACCAAGTATTCAAACACATGAGCCTGTAGGGGACATTTAATATTCAAACCGTAACAATCAGGTCTTTCTCTTTGTATCCTTAGTGCCTAGAATAATACACATTCAACAAATTACTTTTAAATTTGAATTTAAAGGCCAGGCATGATGGCAAACACCTTTAGTTCCAGCACTCTGGAGGCAGAGGCAGATGGATCTTTGTGAGTTCAAGGCCAGCCTGGTCTACATAGTGAGTTTCAAGCCAGCTGGGGCTACAGGGACTCTGCCTCAAAAAGACCAAAAAAGAAAAGAAGACCAAAAAAATTGTTTTTTTAATTTAAAATATGATCAAACACTCATTGCTCTGATTAGAAAATAATTATGCAGATAACATAAAGTACCACCAGAGGGCAGCAACCCTGACTTCTACATTCCCCAGAATTCCTTAGCCTGAGAAAAAGCCAGGAATTTATTGATGCTATCCCCACTACCCCCATTAAAAAAAAAAAAAAGACCTTGGGTAACTGGGAGGCTGCACCTGGGACATGTGAGTCCCCTTCTTTTAGCAAAAGATGCTTACTTCTTCCCCTCATTAATAGAAGAGTAATCACTTATTTCCAGTACCTAGTGGGATAGTCAGGATGCTGGGTACTCCTCATGGTAATTCTGCAAGGCAGGTGCTGTTCCTTTCTTTTTACAAATGGGAAGACTGAGACTCAGAGGAATTCTCACAGCTAGCAAGAGAAACATAGCTAGAATCAGGCCTGGCTGATTCTAGTTTCAGTTAAAGTCCTTGTGAGATGTGTAGACAGCCTCCCCTCGACCTTCCTCTGTCTCCCCACCCCCGCCAGCAGAACTTTTACTACTCCAGGGATTTGGAGGGACTGGCAGTGGGTACTGGCCAGGGAAGCTGTGCTTCATCCCCCAATTTATATCTAGCAAGATGTGCCCCTAGCTTTTCTAAATAGAAACATAATCCACTCTTAGTTAAGAGCTGGGTGGTCTGGGGCCAGGACAAGCTATGAAACTGGCAGGCATCTATGCAAAGTAAAATGCAGGACCCTTTAAAAAAAAAAAAAAAAAGATTTCAGCTGGGCTGGGTGTTGGGTTACACCTGTAAACCCAGACTGAGACTGGGAAGCTGAGGGAGGAGGATCACTATGAATATGAGACCAGCCTGTGGTTACCTAATGAGTTCCAGGCCAGCCTGTGCTACAGTGAGATCCTGTATCAAAAAACAGACAAACAGCAGGGTCTGGAGAGATGGCTCAGTGGCTAAGTGGCTAAGAGCACTGGCTGCTCTTGCAAAGGACCCAGGTTTGAGTCCTAGCACCCACAAGGCAGTAAAGAACAATTCCAGGGGATCTAATGCCCTCTTCTGACCTCCGTGGGCATTGCAGAACATGGATGCACTTACATATACACAGGCAATACACTCATGCACATAGAAAATAAATAAAATAGCAATTTTTTTAAAATCCAAAAAATAACAAATTAAGTCTGTGAGATGACTTCCTGAGTAAAGGTGCCTGCCTTCAAGCCTAACCAATATGACTTTGATCCCCAGGACCCACATGGTGA